CATATTTTGCAAAATTATCCGAAGCCTGCAAAATTTTTAGTTTTCTCTTATTGTACGACACCCTTGTAGCATGAGTAGGTCAACAAAAAGAATAACAGTAGAGTAGATAAGGAACTCTATGAACTGGAAACTTTTAAATTGTTGTAAGGTTTGTTGACAGAATTGCACACAAGTGCCGTGAAGAAATTCACCATTCAAGGCAAAAAGCAGCGCTCCTAGCCTTCGGCTAGAGTTTGTTTTCAGGGAGAAGACCAATTTCATTATGTAGCACAAAATTAATATTCCCTAGTCAACACAAGTGGAGTCTAAAACTTTCCCCGTTTTCGTAGTTTGTCGTCAAACCATTTTTTTTTTTGCTGCACAATGTTTAACCCTGCTTTTTGGGAGCATCGTTAGACCGCGTCTGAAATTTTTTCCACTTTCCTACTCCTCATATTACGATTTCTTGTTGTGCTCTAACCGTCCAGAGTTATTTTCACTCACACCTTGCAGTTCATAGAGTTCCGTATCTACTCTACTGTTATTCTTTTTATTGACCTACTCATCCTACAAGGATGTCGTACAATAAGAGAAAACTAAAATTTTGCAGGCTTCGGAAAATTTTGCAAAATATGGGCTTACCGATGCTTTCTAGACCACGTCGCCCATAGTTATGATAAAGTCTATGATCTATCAGTGAATACAAAAAAGCTAGGAAAAGTTAGGGATGCGCGAAAAAACTGCATGAGATGGGTGCAGGACACATACGTCCCGCGCTGTCCGACGTGGCCTGCAAAGTGCGGGACGTATGTGTCCTGCGTTGTCGTCAACGTGTTAACCTATGTGAGGCTGCCACGACTACCAGCGCCTTTGCTCCATTGCTACTTTCTGATCGCTGTAACTTTCAATCCCAGATTGAGCCATGGCTTACGATGGGCTAAGGTGCGTTATTTACTGCCACATACTACACGTGTATAATTCAGGGGAACTTTCTCTTCGAAAAAACGGTGCGACGTCACACGTCAATTTCTGCAATTGCACAATTTCTGGCCATTTGAAGGCGAGGTTACTCCCTTTCAAATACGAGAAGAGCGTCGGGTGCAGACCATACACCACAAGTGACGACGGCCTCCACAAAATGTAAATGTTTTCTGCCAATGAAATGATTAGCCTGTTGCAGTTGTATTCTATCAGTTGTCACTAATTACAACTATCATTTACCAAAAATCAGCTATCACTATGAACCACTACTAACCAGATTTACTTGGAGGCCGTCGTCACTTGTGGTGTATGGTCTGCACCCGACACCATTCTCGTTTTTGAAAGGTAGGGTCGTATTGCCCATGTGTGAAAACTAGTGTCAGCTGTAGGAAGAATTTGAAAGTGACACAATTCAAACACACTTCATTAACTTTGATCTCACCGGTTATGGGGAGACACTGCTGCAGTCCGTGTCAGTTTTTCTTGCATGCGAAATCCTATACAGCTTCTACTTTTCCGCCTGCAAGTTTATGGCAGACTTATCTTTCATCAGAGTGAAAATCGGTTAAGGGTTCATCGACGACTCGTCGAGGATTTTCTCCTGTTCAGGTACGCTCTCCCGGATCTCCCGCCACGTGCGAGCCGTCGGTGCTCTCCGCGCGTAAATTCACTCTCGGCGCTACTCACTCATTACAAGAAAATGGGTCAATAATGGTCGAAGATTCCCTCGGTCGTTATTTACCATTTTTCCTTCTACTATTAGGGTGGTAAAAAAGTCCTGAGCCGTTTGACACTTTTTTGTTCTTTGCTTTTTTATTCCACGTAGAATGGAATCTACCCAACAATATAATCACCATTGCTACCCACTACAGAGTCCCACCTAATGTGCAGTTCAGCGACTTCCTTCTCCCAGAACAGAGCAGACTGAGAGTCAAAGAAATCGCTGACCGCTCTTCCAACTTCTTTACCTTTGGTGAATTCTTTCTTCGCTAGGGATCCCTTAAGGGGATAGAGTAAGTGATAATCAGAGAAGGCAATGTAAGGGGAATAGGGTTGATGGGGAACCGCGTCCCAGATCAGCTCTTCCAATTCTGCACGGGTCTCTTTAACTTTGTGGGGCCTGGCGTCATC